GAACATTAAACACTGCCTTGTCCACATAAAAGAAAGAAAAAAAAAGCTAAGAGCCAAACCAAAAAACCAAAAACTGCTGCTCCTTTCACCAAAAATCCAAAAACTGCTGCTCCTTTCACCAAAAATCCAAAACTGCTGCTCCTTTCACCAAAAATCCAAAACTGCTGCTCCTTTCAGCAAAAATCCAAAACTGCTGCTCCTTTCAGCAAAAAACCAAAACTGCTGCTCCTTTCAGCAAAAAACCAAAACTGCTGCTCCTTTCAGCAAAAAACCAAAACTGCTGCTCCTTTCACCAAAAAACCAAAACCTGCTGCTCCTTTCACCAAAAATCCAGAAACTGCTGCTCCTTTCCCCAAAACCTGCTGCTCCTTTCACCAAAAAAACCCCCAAAACCTGCTGCTCCTTTCACCAAAAAAACCCCCAAAACCTGCTGCTCCTTTCACCAAAAAACCAAAACCTGCTGCTCCTTTCACCAAAAAACCAAAACCTGCTGCTCCTTTCACCTGTGTGTGGTGCCCCAATGCTCCCATCAGCTGAATTCACCCACAGCTTCTGTGGAAGCACCAAAGCCTCAAATCCTTTTCAGATCCTCCAAGATGGAGCAAAGTTTGATGCTTCCAAGGAGCCATAAATCTCCCCAAGAGCTGCTGAACCACCAGGCTCAGGCCCCAGCAGCCAGGAAAGAGAGGCCACAAGGATTGGGAGGGAATTTTCCCGATCGAGAAGATCAAAAAGAGCTTCCAAGTGCTCCCTCATTAACAACCGGGCCCAAATGAGAGAGTCAGGCACACAGGAGTCCTGGATTTCTCCTAAATTCTCAGCCTGGAGGAGCTGCAGCCTTTTGTGCTGAAGAATTTCCCATTCATGCTCAGCTGAGGTTCCATGCAGACATCAAAGGAAAACATTGAATTTCCCCGGCAAGCCTCGGGCTAACTTCAGAGGATACATCACTGAGTAATGTTTAGCAGTTGGATCACAGTTAATTCAGGGAAAAAAAGAAACTGCAGGGCGCCCACAGGACATTCTCCACATATTTCCATAATCAGGGACATTTCTGCTGAATTACTGCTCACATAGCACAAAAAAAATCAGCACCCAAGACACTCGGTGGCATCTTTGGCCTGGATCTTTCTGCTCTTGTTCCCATCCTCCTTTAAGGGCACCAAGCACACGTGGATTCCAACAGAAAGAGCTGAAATAACTCAGGGTAGGTAGAAATCAGCATCACCCCTGCCGGTCTGAGAACTTTGTTTAACTTTACTTGGTAAATGTCTGTTTTGTTGGCTGTTCCCCACAGGCCCCAACAGAAAATGATGGAAAAGAAAAACTCCTGTGTCTCCTTCCTGGAGACACTGATGATGGAATATATATTTTTCTCAAACATTCTAAAAGCCATGGGATGTTGTGCCTGTAACAAGAAGTACCTTTCACTTATTTTTTTGGCATTGAAATGTGATTTTTAAGTACGGTTGCCTGGCACGGTGATTTTGTTTTTACATTAAAACCAAAGAGGATTGGGACAGCCTGTACTAATTTGGAGGAGCAGACAGGACCTGCTCCAAAACCCTCCAAGCAGCATTTTTCAGGTGGGGAAAAGGAGGAACAAAGACATCCAGTGACTTCCTCAAGGTCACACAGGAATCTGTTGCAGGGCAGGGTTGAGTTCCCAAAGTCTCAGCCCACTTATGCACTGGAAAAAGCAGTGAAACAAGAGTATGTACTAAATTTGGCACAGCCTTTTAAATGATGCATTGCTCCAAGGGAACAAGAACCTCCACTCATGCTAAGCCAGACACCAAAGGAACACAGAAAGGAAAACTACTCACTCCACCCAATTTATCTGATCACCTTAATATTTCCTAAGTCAATAAGGCCTTTCTTGGCCAGACAGTCCAACCTACAATTTAGATCCTGTTACAAAATCAGACACACTAAACCACTTTCTCCCTCAGGCTGCAGGAGATAAAAGGCCAAGTAAGCAACATTTTGGTAACTGGCTTCATGTAACAGCTTTGGATTTTCTTAAAAGCCTCAGCATCGATTGTTTCCTTTAAATAGCAATGGTTTATTGAGAAACCTTCTACCCCTTTTAAAGCACAAGCTTTTCCTGAAGTAGAGAAGGAGCAAAACCTGTCCTGCCAAGGCACATTTGCCCAGGAGTTTTGGATACCTGGTGCTGGCAAAAACACTTTGAAGCCAGAGTTAAGGTAACGCTGGTGCTGAAGGGCTGAGAGGGGGAACTTGGGAGATGGAGAGGGAATGAAGCAAGAACAATCCTGGGATTCAGCTCCAGTTGTGTTTCATCCAACAGCTCCAGCCAGGGCTGCAACTTGTGAGCATCCAGAGGAGCTAAAAAGCTCCTGGAGTGCAGAGCAGCCCAGCTCTGCTGTGGTCTCTGCACAGCTCGGGGCAAAAGGAGCACAGGAATTCATTTCATGGAGGCAAATCCCCAGCACCCTGCTGTTACATAAAAGCCTCTTTTGTGGGGAATGGTTCCAAGGATGGAGTCATTGGGGCTGCCTGGATCCCATGGCACAGTCAGGTTCACGATGAGCTGCAGCTGCTCCCGTTTTTGCAGAGTCTCCCACTCCCTTTTCCATCCCTGTTCCTCCCTTTTCCTCTGCCACGTTTCCATGTGGGAAACCAGCACAGCAACTGCAGTGCCTGCTTCAGGGATGTGAACACAAGGCTGTGATGAAAGGACTGAAACATCTCCCGGAGCCCTTCTGCAAACTGAGCTCAAACAGATAAAAAAGCCACTATTTCAGTTTGCCTGGGAAAGTTCCTCTACGTTTGGGAGCCCCTTGAGGCAGGGACTGCCCTTCTCTTCTGTCAAACACCATTTGTACAAGCCACGATTGCACAACTACTTTTATAAGGTTTCCAATTATACAAAGAATGTGTTTTTATTCATGTTTACAACCCTGAGAAACAAACCCTGAAACCCCAAACCCTTTGCATTCAAATTCCATGACCTGCTGGTGGTTCCACCAACGACGTGGTCCCAACTATTAATCCACACCTTGGCCTAGAATGAACTTTTAGAAGGAGCAGATCCCAGAGCACCCTGGAATTAACACTTCCAAAAGTCACATTGTGCTTCCCTCCTTCCCCTCTCCTGTCCATATTTCAGCAGTCAGCATTCCTGGGCAGCTTCTGGGCTAGAAGCTCAAATTCCAAGCAGTTGGCAGCACTGGCATTGCCCTGCTGGGAGCTCCTTAACCTGCAGAGCTGGCTGCACTGGAGCATGGACCTGGAACAAGGAGGGGAAGGAAGCACCAAAGGTGAAAGCACTGGGAATGTACAGCCTTGTTTTTCCTTGGCTGGGGACCAGCTGTGTCAAGAAACAAAAGCAGAGCACAAACTTTAATCTACTGTAAAAACAGCAAGTAAAACAAGCCTCCTTCCTCAGCCAGTAAAGCATTTTCTGTATCCCAACACAACATCCAGGGCACCAAATAAAAACCCAGGGAGTCACTGCCCCATCCCAACTGGGCACAGGAGCCTGGAGTCACCCAGCTGGCCCAAAGGTGAAGCAATTTCACCTCCAGGGCACAGATGCTGCTGCATTTGCACTTCAAACCCCTTTCCAAGGGGCACAGCCCCTCTGTCCCTGGTGATCCAAGAAGCTGAACTATTCCAGCTGCACACACAGAGCTCACAGCACCATTTCCACTCAGCCCAGCTCACACATCTCTGGCTGTGGCTGTTTTTTCTGAGCACAGATTTCATAAGCTGAACAAACTTGATGGAACAGTTATTCCAAGGCAGCTGAGCCCTGGGAGCTGACCAGAGCCAGGCTCCAGCACACACTGGGAAGGTTTCATTCTCCCCCTTCAGAACAGGCTCCTCTCACTGGCCTGCTCCTTCTGCATCAAAACACTCTTACTGGTCTGAGAGCTTTGAATTCAGCTTATCCCAACAGCCCTCAGGAGCTGGAAGGGACTGATCAGGATCACTGAGCCCAACCCCAGCACACCCCAACAATCCCACCCTGTGCCTGAGACCAAACCCTGGGGAGCCCCTCTCAGTGTTCCAGCACCCTGGGGATGAAAACCTTTCCCTGACACCAACTGAACCTGCCCTGACTCAGCTCAAGCCATTCCCTGGTCATGAGAGAGATCAGCACACGTGTGAGCATGGTGAAGACCCCAAGCACTTAACACAAAACCAGCTGGGCAAGGCCAAGCACTTCCACAGCCACTGATGTGCAACATTGTAGTATTTGCAGGGAGAAATGATGCATCTGACTCCATCTTATCAGAAGGCTAATTAATTACTTTATTATACTGTATTATTCTATACTATATTACATTATATTACATTACATGTAAACTGAATCTGCCAAGCACTCAGCTCTGCACACACTGCACAGAATCTCGTGACTGTCACCCTCAGTCCTGACACACACACACACACACACCTGGCCCTGACAGGCCAAGGAACCAAAAACCATCTCTGTGGGTAACCAATCTCCATAGTGCATTCTACTTTTGCACAAACACAGGCACAGCAATGAGATAAGAATATTCCTGGGAAGAATTGTGCCTTGCTTTTCTCAGTGAAGAGAAATGTGGGGCTGCACAATTGGCCATGACAGGCCAAGGAACCAAAACACCATCACTCCATATTGCATTCTAGTTTTGCACAAACACAGGCACAGCAAATGATAAGAATTGTTTTTCCTTTCTCTGAGGTTCAGAGAATGTGAATCTCAGAAATATTCTTGGGAAGAATTGTGCCTTGCTTTTCTCTGTGAAGAGAAATGTGGGGCTGCACACTCGGCCCTGAACCAAGGAACCAAAACACCATCACTCCATATTGCATTCTACTTTTGCACAAACACAGGCACAGCAAATGAGATAAGAATTTTTTTTTCCTTTCTCTGAGGTTCAGAGGATGTGAATCTCAGAAACATTCTTGGGAAGAATTGTGCCTTGCTGTGAAGAGAAACGCGCTGGCACAACGTGAGGGAACCATTGGCTCCAGGGAGCCCCTACCTTGGAGATGAGCTCATCGTGGTTGGCCAGGTGAGCCCTGCAGTGGATGCAGCTGTAGGTCCTGTGGCAGGAAGGCAGATATGCCTGGAAAGTCTTGGACCTTGTCATCTTCACCATTGGAGCCACGGAGCGCTGGCTGAAGTCGGGGGTGGCCCAGGAGGCGCTCCCGCAGGAGGGGTCGCACGGGAAACAGCGGAACACGCAGGTAAAGGCCGTGGCTTGGCTGGGATGGGGTGTGTGGGGCAGGCTCCACACGCTGGTGATGCTCCAGACGAAGGGATTTGGGCACTGGAAGCAGGGGATTGCACGGAAACCTGCGGTGGAAAGCAGACACAACACTCAGCTCGCAGCCCACAAGGGGATTTAGGGCTGGATTTAGGAGACAGGAGTGATGCCTGGGGATTAGACCAGCAGCACAGCTCTTTATTCACTTGCTGGCTGCCCTCACACCTCCCTGCTGCTCTTATCTGCACCATTCTTCCAGCACCTCATGGCTCTGGAAGTGCCTGCAGAGGAGTGGAGGTGATTCCCACCCAGCCAGGGAGAAAGTGGGGAGCAGAGCCAGCCCCCTGTCCCCTGCCTGACTCACTGCTGTGACACCCCATGGGAAAAATGAGAGCTGGACCTGGGTTTTCTAAGGCCATGAGTCACCAAACCAGTTTTTCTCTCCATTCTGCCCTACTTTCCCCATGGGAAATGCAGGATTCCTTCATTACACTCTCCTTTAGAAATCCCTGTAAGCTCCGAAGGTAGAAGCTACTCTATAAACTGCACTCCCGTATTTTATTTTTTTAACCTGAACATCTGACAGCAGCCAAAGCAAGGCACAGCCTCTGAAGACTACTCCTGATAGCAAGAGACAGTTAAAAACCCCATTCAGGATGGAAACACCATTTTACACTCCAACATCTGACAGCACCTGCAAGGCAGCTCAAGTCTGGGTCTCTTTTTGTTGGCAGGAATGGAGTTTTCAGATCCCACACCTACAAAAGTCTTACAGCTACAAGTGTTCCTTTTGAGGATGGAAAGGCACAAAGGAAGCAGAAGCAGCTCCCCTCCCTCCCTCCCGGATCCATGGCGTGCATGCGCGCTCTGCAAATTAATCATGAACTCTGGCTGCTCCTCCCAGGAGGATTTTCCTTGCCATAAAACATGTGATTCTGCTCAGTTTCTGAGCCTGCACTTTGTGGGTCAAACGTGGAACAACACCAGCTTCACCCCCAAAATAAAGAAAACAAGGAATAACATCTCAGGCATCCAGGAGAACCCTGCTCCAACACTTCCCCAAGCCTTGCCAGGGTTGGGAAAGCAGATTCAAGGTATCCAAGCCATGGACATTGTCCCAGAGGGTCCAGAGCTCTGTCCAGCCTGGCTTGGACACCTCCAGGGATGGGGCAGCCTGTGCCAGGCCTCCCCACCCTCACAGGGAAGGATTTTTGGGTGATCCCTACCCCAAAGCTCCTGTCTATCAGTGTGGAGCCATTCACACAGAGCTCAACAGGAGGCAGAATCCTGTAAAACAAGAGACCCAATTTTTTTTCCTTTTTTTTTTTCTGAAATATTTTTCTTCTGCTCTCCAGGAGGCAGCTCCCTCACAGTCAAATGGGGAAAAAAAAAGCATCTTTGCTCATCAGGCAAACTGCTGATAAAGCATCTCCATCATGATCATAGCAGTCAGCACTTCCACAGCAGTGCTCATTCCTAAAGCTTTTTGCAAATACCAACTAATCAGATTAACCTTTTCCAATTTAAGTTACAGCCACAGCTGAGCAGGACCCCTCCTGACACAGAAGGATCCATTTCCCAGCTTGTGAGGAGCTCACCCCTCTCCTGTCCAGGCCAAATGAGGTTTTGCCAGGGATTTACCTGCCCACTTGATAAGGACTGGGCACTGTTTGCTCCACAGCTGCAGCTCTGGATTTCAGCAAGATTTGTCTTTTACACTCATCAGAGAAGGAAGATAAATCAGTCTTCACCTGTATCCTGCCCCAGTTCTTTGTGTGCACCAGAATTTTGTCAGAACTGAGTTCTGCATTAGTCAGCATTGTTTTCCCATCCAAGGTGAGAAGCACTCAAGGACAGCAGCCTAAATTAGCAACAGGGCAGAAACCAGATGTAAACCAAAGCAGAAAATCCTCATTTTCAGCTGCTACAAAACCATCCCCAAATTCCAGGGCCCAGCTTGAGCAGCTGATGTGTTTTATCCCAGAATCTGCAGTCTGTGAGGCTCCAGGGAAGCAGGAGAACAACTGTGCCCTTCCTGGGGCCAAATGCAGCTGGATCCCTGGAGGAAAGCACAAGGAAGGACTGGCAATCACTTCAGCTGATTCCTGAATGAAAACCCAGATTGTGCCTAAACTTGTAATGAAATAGTGCAGCCCCCCTCTCACCTCCACCTCAGCATGGATCAGTAAAATAATCAATCACCACTTTTAGCACCTCCATCCTGCCATGGCAAACCTTCCCTTCCCCATGAGAAGGTAATCCCCAGGCACCCCCAGAGCCCAGTGGGGAGATAAATAAACCCCAACCAGAACAATATCCCAGCAATCCTTTAATTTGCTGCTTGCTGACCCCTCTGTCCAGACCTGCTAAGCATCAATGCTCCAGAACAATGAATAAAGCAGGAAATCCTACAGCTGCATTTGTCTGACAGAGCAATGAACACACACACAGGAATTATCTGCTGCACACAGCTTTCTGCAAAAGCAGCTCATGAGCATTCATTTATTTGACCTCATAACACATTGAACATCAGCAAAAAGCATTTGACCTTTTAAAAGCAGACCAAAAAAAAATATTCAGGCGAGATGGTATCAGAGGAACTGCAATTCCTGTTCTCAGGGCTGTGCTGAGAAGGCAAACTCCATCTCTCTGCTTCAGGCAGGGCAGAGAATAAAGGTTTGTGAGCCAAGATCTTGGTGGGAAGCCTTGTTAAGAAAATATCTTGAATAAAAACTTCAGATAAGCTCAGCTATAATTCATCAAGGCACCACTTGGACACAGTCTGACCACACGTGCATTGTCTACCAAGAGCTCTGTCCTCACCAGTGTGGGAGAGGAGGTAAAACCTACAGGAAATGCATTCTGACATTCTACAAGCACAGCCAGCAGCTTCTAAAGACCAATTTCTGTCTTAAATACAATTTTGAAATGTATTCAGTGGCTCCCAGCAATGCAAAACCCAACCCCGTGGATTTTTCATGTCCTAATGACAACTACATTTGAATTAAGAGACAATTACCAGCTAACAGTGCATTTGTTCTGCTGCAGAACAAAGACATCAGGATGAATTTGGGCTGTGCCTCTGGTTTTCAGAAATGATGAGCTCATGTTCATCAGCATCCCAGGCAGTGGGCAGCAGTGGAGTCATTGCACTCACTTTAAAAAAGAACAAAAGAAGGTTTGTCCACTTTATCATCATGCCCAGCACTGTCAGAGAGATGAGTATCTGTCACCACCACCAGCATCCATTATTGTTCTTTTCTCATTCAAGAGAAATTTATCTCTGGGATGCACTCACTCAATTCAATGGAAGAGGAATTTGTGCCTATTAATTAATGTCCACCAAGTCAGAAAGCTGATTTAGACAAAAGGAAGGGATTCTAAAGAAAAAAAAAAAACAACTTGCAACATCATTTATTGTGGGTTATCAGTGGGAAAATCAGCTGAATGTTTTGCTTGCCTGCCCTGGGTGTGCTGGGCTGTCCTGCTGAGCTCTGAGCAGGTATCAGCTTCCTGATGGAAAAACCACCACACACACTTTGCCATTTGGGCAACTTTGGTTCAGAATCCACCCTCCACCTGTGGGTGCCCAACACCCATTTCCCACACAAAGCTCTCAGCAATTCAGGAAACACAAAAAAAGGGGAGGAAGTCTGTGCCAAGCACTTGCCAGACAAGGCCACTGCACGTACAAGCCCATATGCCAGGGAACAAAACCATCACACTCAAGCCTGATTTTGAATAAAATCCATTTGCAATGCAGCTCAGATGCAAATGTTCGTCGTGGTAGGACAAACAACAGGTTTGTTTGGGCTGAGAGTTTGTTGGGTTTTTTTTAATGATTTATTCAATTTTAAGATAAACTTCAGCCTGTGAAATACTTATTAGAATATAGCAAATGCTACAGAAAGCTGCTTGCAGCAGCTCTGAAATAATCCAGATATTTGGAAACCCAACCTTTCTCCTTTGGTGGGTCTCTTTCATTGATACAGAAAGAATCTGAGATGTGCTGATTCCCAGAGCAAGGAGAACACAAGAGGAATTGGGTTTGGAGAGTTTTCTGTGCCTAAGCTGGCTTGCTCCAGGCTCTGAGCAGGATTCTAAGAAAATTCTCGAGGTAAATACAGCCATTTACCAGGGTTTTCTTGACCAAAAACTGCCTTAACATTCCTTAATGCAGCTTGGAGGAAGGCTGGTCTCCAATTGGAGCTGGGGTTTGATGCCCTGCTCTGCTTCCCTATGGAACAGGAGCTACCAGAGGCAGGTGTTGGACACTCAGGGACACCTGGCACTGCTAAAGGAGCGTTTCATACTCAGGTGGTGACAAAATATCCTGGTTTGGGGCAGTTCTGGAGACCCACAGCTCTGGGAAAGATGCAGCAGATCGTCTGAAGGTGGGAGGGAGGGTGGGATGTACCTTGAGGAAGGATGAACATCCTGAGTTTAACCAGGGAACAACACAAGGGGAAGCCAAGAAAGGAGCTGAAACAGCAGATGGGTGAACACAATGTGCTTCACTCCTTCAGCATCAAGTTTCTGAAATGCACCAGTTTCAAACCCTGCCTGAGGTGACACTGCAAGGAGCTCAGCACTGACTCCTCAGCGTCCTTCTCCAACACCTCGGCCCATCCTCCAAACCCTGCAAGCAGGAAAAGAACATGAGAAAAGGTGGAAAACAGCCAGCAGGAACCCTCTGCACTGACTTTTATCGGCTGCATGGACATAACCACAACACAAATAATAACATTTAACCGGGTGCCTCCTAGCAAGTGAGATCTCTTCATCACCGTGAGGAAGCACTCACTTCACGGGGAAAAGGGGATGGAGGGACGGATGAGGGCGATGCTGACGGCAAACAGCACTGCAGACACCTGCCAGGAAAGGCACCACTAGAGGGCATGGGGAAGAGCTGCAGCAGGAGGCAATCCCAGCCTGAGCTGCCGGCCCCAGGGAAGCCGGGACGGGCAGGGCGCCAGCCCTGCTGCACCTGCCGGGCTCCACATTGCACGGCCAGCCCGGCAGAACAACCCGGCACCAGGCCCGGCACCAAGCCCGGCACCAAGCCCGGCAGAACAACCCGCACCAGGCC